TATATATATATATATATATATATATATAATACTATTTAAAATTAAAAGAGTAAACAGTATTTTAGAGTAGGTTTTGCTTCTCGTCGAGATCAATTCTGTCAGTTGGACCTTTTCTGGCTTTTTTTTTTCTTTTTTAAAATTTACGTTTTAAGTGTACCTGAAATTTTACACTTGTGGTATTGGAAAAGGCAAAACAAAGAAGCTAGTTTGTAGAGAAACGTTAAAGTTTTTCAATTTGTTTATTGAATAAAAAAATAAATTCTATTTTCAGCTTTTTAAAGCGATTTTACAGAACCTTAAAAACAAAATACATTTATCTTTTTAAAAGTAAGGATTTTTTGAAAATAAAATTCTTTTTTTATGTAATGGCAGCTTTTTTTATGCTCTGTAGAAGCTTTAAGTATTGAACGGAACAAAGATGAGCAAATTAGTGCAATGGCTGGGTCACAGATCCTCAAAATTTTCTGTTTGTCAAACAAATTAGATTTACCTATCTGTTAAACTACTGTAACGTTACCAGAAAAATTGTTGACACTAAACCACTGATAAAGCTTACCTCTGTTAAATATTTACTGCAAACCTTTAGCTCCAATACCGATTTTTTGTTTTTGAAAAATACAAGACTAGAAGAAAAAAAAATGGAGCAAAAAGGAAAAAATCAACAACAATCACTCTAACTGAAGAACTTTTTGGAAGTTTTATTTTGGTTTATTGCCTTTTTTCTTTGCCTATCAATAACACTTTTACCTGCAAATAGAAAGACTTCAACAGTACAATTTGATGAACTGTTGAATGAACCTTGGTACAAAAAAAATTTTTTTGGTTTTTCATTTATTTGTTGACATTGCTTTTTTCATTTACTAATTAAGAATGAAAGTTTTTCAGAATATTATTTCAAACCCTCTTTTTTTTGAGTTTGAAAAGGGAGGTGAAAGGAATTTTTTGGCTTTCTGCAAATTTAAAAGTTTGACGGAATCTCTTTAGAAAGTTGCATTCTTTTATCGCCTTAAAAGATTTCCCCTTTTTGATATCGGTTTAGAGCGTCTTTTTGTCGTTTTTTTTTTAGTGTTAGTGTTTAATCTGACTGTGTGTCGATCCTGCTGATAGTAAAAAAAAAAAATCAAAAGATTGGAAATATGAGATCAATCTACTTTTTTTTTTTTTTTGAATTATTCTTAATCAGCGATAAATTAATTCGTTATCTATATCAGCAGTATTGGTTACTGGAGGTGATTTTGCATTTTTTTTTCTGTCTCTCAGACTTGACCTCGGTACAGTTAGTTATTTGTGTATTTGAATAAGTTGATTTTTTCCTTTTTTTTTTTCAGACAAATATTTGACGTTGAAGCGGAAGAGAAGAAGAATCTGATGCCGTCGGTGGAGTATGGTCGATTTGGCCATCAACCGACGGCTGTCAATCGGCGCAAAAAGTTGCATTTGGAGTACAGGAAACGTAAACCGCAACAGGAAATCTGTGCATGTCTTAAATGGCTATGCTTTTTTATGAATTTTTTTGTTTTTGTAAGTTATTTTTGTTGCTTCTTAATTAAAGTAACTTTTTGGCTGTTTGTTGTTTCTAATTATGGCTAGTATTTAGGCAGAAAATAGTGAAAAATAATTTCTTATGATTTTGTAATCGATTATTTTGAACAACATTTAACGTATTGATCAAAATTAGTTTTTACTGCATTTTGTCGATTTCAAACGAGAACTGATGCTCAATGAAAGGAATAGAGTTGTGTAGAAGACTGAAAGTTTATTTATTATTTTTTGAGCTTTTGCAACAGGTTCAGTTTACTTTCTTATGTGTATATCTAAATAAACTTATACATACTTTACAGCTAATCGGTGTAACCTGCCTTGCGCTGGGAGTTTATTTATGTGTAAAAGATCCAAGATCAATACTGGAATGGGCAGATGTGCTGCTGAATCCGGCAGTTATGCTCACCATAATTGGCCTTGCTGTATGTATCGTATCTTTGCTTGGCTCTTTAGGAGCCCTTCGTGATAGCATCACTTTGCTCAAAACGGTACATTTTTTTTCTTTCAGATCATTACAGTTATCTTTTTTTTTGACAAACAAAGGTTTAAATCTTTTATGTAAGCGGTAAAAGTTTTTTGAACGTGGAAATATTTAAATTTGCAATAAAACTTGTAGTTCAGTATAGCTTATAACTTTATAAACAACGCATGAGGAGAAGCAGGGTTTGCCAAAAAGCTACTTAACTATAACATTCTCTTCTCCTCTTCTTTTTTGCTATATTTTAAAAAAGCCTTTATACGGCAACAGTATTTAGTTGATAAAACAGTGATAAATTTTCCGTCATGTTTTGGTATATAACTCATATTTTTAAAACTGTCTTGAGTTATTTAGAAATTAAACTTTATCTGATTGTAGAAGAAATTGTTTTAGAAATTTTAAGAAAGGGTAGGATATTTTTATTTATATGAAAAAGTTTTTGTGTTGGAATAAGAATAATAACACGGTTGTAGCTTTTTTTTTAGTCTGTATGATTTGAGGAAGTAATGTACTAGAGTTTTATGAGTGAAATTTGAAATTTCTACTTGATCAAAAAGAGGATGACAGAATTTCTGTGGTGAAAGATATGGATTAACAGTATAATGTAATTACAAGCGTATGACGTAAATTAGTATCGCTCTGATTGCTGTAATAATTCTTTAACTTGGTTATGAATAGCTCATTTTTCAGTTCGCTCTCAGCGTATTTTTCTGTTATATAGCAATAGTAGTTTGCACATTCTTCTTGTTTATACTGTTTTATTCGGATACCACCGAAGGACTGTCTGCTCATAGTATCCTGTTATATTCAATTGAACGATATCATACGAATCGTAATATTGCGGATTTTGTTGATTATTTACAAGAACAAGTAGGCACCATTAAAATTTTTGGTCTGGAGCGGTTTAACATAAGAAAAATTAACTGTGTTCAATAATTTTAGCTGGAGTGCTGCGGAGCATCTTCAGCATCACAAGGTTATCGTGACTGGCAGCGATCAGAGCAGTTTAACTGCAGCGAATCTAACCCACATCCAGAACGATGCGGTGTACCATTCAGTTGTTGTAGACGTTCTGTGGTAAAAACTTGATTGTCTGGACAAAAATTCAAAATTTCTACAAAATTTCAATTTAATGTTTAAGTTTCCATTATTCTGTTTTAATAAAATTAATCTTTCTCATTTGTCTTCAGATATCGGAGGCTGCTGGGTCTGTCAATCCTTTACTACCAGCGATGCGATCATTGGAATGTTGGCAACATGCTCAGACAAAAAAATCTCAGGAGCTGGAAGCAGACCTTTATACCCGAGGTTGCCTTCAGCCGTTGAGGGTATTATTTGAAAGTCATGCGGTCCGGATCGGAGCTGCAGTTGCTTTCGTCCTTATACCTGTGGTTCGTTATTACGCCTTTTAATTGCTTTTTTCCAGATTCCGTTACACAGTAACTATTTTTTATATTACGTCTTTCTGCTAGAAGTTTCAGTAGTTGAGTTATGATATCTGACTAGACATTGTATGAGCTTCTTTTGAAGAGCTTTGTCTCGGTTGTTTGAAAGACAATATTAGTCGTATTATTTGATAGCCATCTGTAGTAAAGCATAATGGCCCTTGTTGACCAGTCAAAGTTCATTTACTTTCAAAAAGTGATTATAAATCATTCATCAAGTCAGAGGCTTTAATTAATAATCAATTTTTTTTTCAGTGTGTTTCTGTTTGTCTAACCAATTTACTGGCAAGGCAAATTGATCATCAACATTACTTATTGGAAAAAGAGGCTAGGCGAAATGAAAGGAGGCGAAGAAGAGAGAAACAAAAATTCCGGGACCCCTTCGCTGTTTACGACACAGCAATCACAATAGAGCCGGAAACTGTTGAAAAAAAACCTTCTGCCGAAGTACGGACGAATACAGTTGACAGTTATTCTGTTTAGGAAAAGACAATGATATATTACCACTTTAACACGTTATAATTCATATCGGTCACTTTCTAGTACACTTTAAGGACTGTGTATTATAGCACTGTCCTAAATTAATGACACAATCTTGATGGCCGTTTTTTCTAGCACGGTAAATATAACAAAGCTGTGGAAGCACGGGCGTCTCCTCCAAACGTACCGTCTGATGCATCAGCTACAGCTCCGATAATGTCGCAGTGTAACAACGACAAATCTCGACAGAATCATCGGCACAGGAAACCAATTAGTACATCACCTCGACGGAACCCACCTAATCCAAAGCAACAAAAGCAGCAACGAGGTTCATCAGTTGGTAAATCTTTGTTTGTATGACCAACCTCTCATGCTTTTGATGAGGCAATTTTTTGATTGAAAAAACCTGTTTTCCTCTATTTTCCGCAGTGATGGAAAATTGCAATATCAAATTTGACTTTTTATTGCACTGAGATCTACTGTAATTTGCAGAAGTTGTCTTTGGACGAAGGAAGCATCACGGTGATAAGAAACGGCGTTCAATTACAGCCCCTTTACCGGTTGAGAATCGTGTTCATCAGTGGGTACTTCAACAGTCAGATTTTGTTGGTCATGAACCATTTGCTTAGTTGCTGTAACATATGTTTCAAATTTCTTGTTTTGAGAGTAATTCAGTTCACTCATTCAGTACTTTGCTACTCAGATGCCAAACACTTCTGCGTGACCTAATCCAATCCCGGTTTCAGTGTCATTTAACCTCTATACATTTGTTTATCCTCAAAAATCTACAACGTTATTTTTTTTGTTTTGATTGTTAATGCTATTAGACCGAAATTTTTCTCAAAAATCTAGCAGAGTTTGACTACTGGCAAGTTACATATTTTCTGTTCAAAGTTCAGCTTGTTCAGTAGCATTAAAGCAAAAGTTCCTTTTACAGTCCAGAACCTCTCAAATTCTTCAGTTTTCTGCTGCCTTTTCATCATAAGTTCTGAAAACTTCATGATACTTTTATATTACTTGTTAAAATGGTGAAATACGTGATGAGATGACGATCCAAAACAGGGTATAATTTGGTGTATAACAGTTTCGAGAGTTATTTTAGGACTGAGCAAGAAGTTTCATTTCTTACTTTGAGTGTTTCACTGCCAACGGTATTTCGCCAGATTATCAAAATAACTCTGTATTTAGAAACTCTTTAAATCGCCATGTCTCACCCATGAATCGGGTATCAGATGTCCTGTTTTAAGCGACATTTCTAATAAAAAACTTTAACACTGACCATAGCTTCTTGGCCCGGTGATAAAATTTACTCGCAAATGCAAATTGCTTCTTCATTACGTATCTTAACAGCAAATCGAAAGCTTATTTCGAAAAACTAAGCTACTTTACAGATACTGACCAAAACGTTAAAATTTTTCAGTTCCAAAAAGCCTGTGCGTGTAAAAACGCTGCTTTTACAATCCTGGCTGCAACTAAACCAAACTTAACTGAGCCAAATAACACAACTCGTTTACAAAACTTCGATCCAGAAACATCCAGTATCTTAATGTAAGCTAAAGACTCTCCCCAACAACGAGTACTGACGGAACTGTTTTTCCCAGCATTAGGCGTATACACGGACTCATCAAATTACTTTCTATGGCCAAAACCACGCTTCCCCACTAAATATTCTTTTCTCTCCAATTGCAGACTTTTGCCTTCCGTACTGCTACTAGGTGTACGTCCCCACCCACATTCTAATTATTAAACGAAGCGCTATGCCGTATTCTTTTTAATATTGACTACTAAACAACGGAGTGAACCCTATTCACCCTCAAAATCCCACATTTTGAAAAATTCTACTTTGCAAAACTTACATGTTCCTGATGTCTTTCACATTCGACGGAGAGGTAAATGTACAAACAGGCTCGCTGCATATATTTTACGACTTCCGTTCAAAATCCATTCCTGTGAAGTTCATCTGCTGCTTACAATATAGAAGTCGAAGTTACCGCTTAACATTCAACTAAAAATCCAAGTATTATACCATAACACACAAAATCATGTTTAGAGTAAAATACAGTGCTCGTTTAAAGAAAAGTAACCGGTCTCACCTAAGCACGTCTATAATTGTAAACGCCCACTAATACTAATAATCATATTTATTTAGTTATTCCTTGCAAACAACAGTTGGAACCAAACGCTAAATCCATAAGCAGTGGTAAACCATTAATACCAAAATAAACAATGTCAGCTTATGTACTCATAAAAGTAAGAAATGATATAAACCTGTAGGAGCAAACAGAGACAGAAAATAAAATGTCAAAAGCTCAAAAAACAAAATTTCAGAAGTACAAAAAAAACCACAAAGCCGAAACCAAAAAATACGGCAAATTAACACAAAACGAGAGTTCAAACACTAACAAGACGAAAAATATAGGCCTGCAAAAACATGTGCACATCAGAGCAAGCTCAAGATTGAGCAGGAAAGTTGAACTTACTAAATCACTAGCAGCTACTTCTTTCAGTAAGTTAAAAGCATGAAACAAATATGAAAGATACATCTCATCTGGATGCAAAATAATATAATAAATTTCTTTACTGTTCCGAACTCGTCCTGAAAAGTTAGTTTTAACTGCAACAAATGATGAAAACGAAAAAATGACAAGGAAACGGAAAGCGTACCTCCTCCCTGTAAAAAAGGCCCTCTGATCACAAATATTTTCCAAACAGAAAACAACTTCATCGCAGTCTGGCCTCTTTGTGCGCTCCATGTTTGTGCAACGAAGGGCCAAACGAATAAGCCTTCTGAAGAAGCCAAAACGAAACTCTAAAAAAAAAGGGATTCTCGACGTTCTGAACCTAACGCCCACTATACTTTTTCTAAAATATACTACGTGGGAAAAGAAAAAAATATTTCAATGAAAAAAGTGGTGATGATAAAGAAGTGTTTCACTCTGCGAAAAACAAGCACCATCATCGTCTGGACAATTCTTATCAATGATAAGACTGATGAATTTCGTCTGGTCATCCTCATACTCCGCCTCTAAATGCAAGACGTGCTGCAGTAAATTTGGTTTGTCCCTGTTTTCCACATAAACTCTAGAGCCACTAGCAATTTCCAGTAAAACAATGCCAAAACTATATATATCCAGTTTAGTAGATAAGATCTTACTGAAAGAAAAATTTTAAATTAAAAAGAGTTATTCAGAAAACTAACTGTGCTTTAAATAACGGTGAGCTTGTTAAAAAAAAGGTATATACTGAAAGCCATCTAAATACCTGTTCTTAAACTCTGGCGGCAGGTATGCGAAAGTTCCTTTAACGTGAGAAGCTATTACTGAGTCCTCTTCCTCTACACCTTCTTTGAACTGAAAAAGGAGTTAAAGAAGCTCCAATAATTAAGTTTTCTAAACCAAAATAATACAAAGAGAAAAATAACAAGCCGTTTAAAAACTGATTTCCTGCCTCATATGAGAAACAATAATTGATTCCTATTCCATTCAATCCTGAATAAAAACAAAAAACATTTAAAATTAGGATCAATTCAAAAAACATACTGATCCATTTCTGCATAATCCAAAATCGCTAAGCTTCGGTTCAAAGTGTCTATCAAGAAGGATATTGGCTGTCTTGATGTCCCCATGAATAATAGGAGTATTACTACCAGTATGTAAGAAAAGTAAGCCCCTGGCAGAACCTTCAGCTATGATTTTCCGCTGCTGCCAAGTCAAAACTTCCGTGCCGCCCTAAATTTCATTTCTCGAGAAAAGTTTCTTAAACTAAATTAAAAGAAACTTCATGGTCTATAAAGCACTTTACGCTGCAGACGATCTTCAAGTGAACCGTTAGCCATATACTGGTAGATCAAGCACGGATCTTCTCCATCCAAAGATATTCCATATAGTGGCAGAATATTATCGTGGCGGTATTTAGCCAATGTTCGGAGCTCACGAAGACTTTGGAGCAAACGTTCCTTAAGTGACTGGAACGACAGCAGAGTAAATCCATGAAGTAAGCATCGCTAACATTAAAAGTAAACACTTCAGTTCGCACTACTTACTTCACTCCCACAGTTCCTTTGAGACTTGAATCTCTTCACAGCCACCTACAAAAAAACGAATTGAAAGGATAAACTTCAGCAGTCGAGGTGATCAAAAAACAAGTTGCCTAGGAATCGTACAGAATATGTAGAAGATTTGCGGATAACGCCGGTAGCACCAGCTTTACAACATCTGACGCTATCCCCTCTTATTTGTAAGAAAAAAGATGAACCATATCCGCAGTTTTTAACAATCCTAAAAGCTCAGCTCGTTACGAGCCTCCAAAACCAAAAGTTTCCAAACAATATGTATTTAAGAATAATAAGTGAAACCATAGCGGTGCATACCACACAACTTTCTTTTATAATTCAAACCACTAATAAGTAATGAATGCTGTCTACCTTACGAAATGCCTCTTATTATTACTGCTTCCAGTTAGATAAGCGGCTAAAGAAAAAAAAAACTTGCAAACACCAGAACAGGTCGTCCACTACCCCTATGAAAAAGCCTTCCAAATAAGCCAAAATCCCCAGTTGTATAATATTAATGAGTTATAAATACCCCAACTGTGCATTTGAGCTAAGTTGTATAATGATTACAAGAAAACAAAAAAAATTAGAGCTCCACCGTCAACAGGTAACATCATTTTAAGCCAAATACTGTTTTATCATATTCCCACTAATAAAAATGCAAATAGTTTTCACTTCACACTCTCAAAACAATATATTTAATCTTCAAACTAAAAAATGTTTATAACCAAAAAATTTTAAAAGTTTCAATTTTAGAAAAGTTTTAATAAAATTTCGCGAACAAATTTCAAACTAGTCTTTCAGCTTGCCTCAAAGTTCTTCCAAACACCTTTGTATGCTATACCATATCCGCCTTTTCCTAAAATGTTTCTTTCAGCGAAACCATCAGTCGCCAACAACACTTCACGGTACTTAACACTGATCGTATTTTGCAATCCAGCAATTACATCTTCCTCTTCCGAAACGCAGCTACAAATAAAAAATTGACTTCAACAATAAACTATGTTTGAGACCGACTGATAAATATACCAAAACCAATATAAACAATGATGCCATGCGGCTTGAGTTACTAACGTGTAGAACTTTTTCCATCCAAATGAGAATCCCATACAGAACATTAACTAAGTTCTAAATGAAGTTCTCGATATGGAAGAAAAACCATAAATCACAATTAATAGCTCAGACTTATTTACCTTAACTGGGTATTATGATTCGGCGCAGTTTTCCAACTAGTAAGACAGCGGGCAGTAATGTCCTAAAAACACATGTCTCGAGTACTCATAGTGGGAAGACTATTATCTAGTAAGACAAAAAAATAAGCAGAAACCAGTGTGCTACTTCTAAAGGTTTTATATTTTAAAAAGCGCATACGCATTAACCTAATGCGATAAAAGATGGGAAGGCGAAAAAGCTAGTAAAAAACTAGTTTCTATAACTATCCTTGTGATACATACATTGCATCCTTCTTCATTAGAACCATCCATCGAATTCCCTCTAGAGCATACTCGCGATGTTGATGGATCAGCTACGGATTTTTTACAAAGTTGCTCCCAGTGGTGATACTTACTGTCCACTAAAAAACTTCCCCAATTACGAAAGAAACTAAAGATAAACAACTTCTTTTAAAGCAGACCGTTTACAAGAAAAAAGTGAAGCTAACAACAGCCAATTCAAAAATTTATGCCCTGAAAAAGAAAATTTAGTACCAAGATTACGAATACACCGCATAGCCGCAATCATCCTGTTTCGAGCAAGGTAATTATAAAGTTGCAAAACTGTGTTGCCTTTTGAGCCCCATATTGTGAGCAAAACTTCAGCGGGACTCCCGCACCCTACAGCTAAACGGCATGACTCTATATCTATCAAATTTATGTCCTTCATGGTGCCAGCTAAAATAAAAAGCAGTAAAATAATTCTCAAATGTTACAGGCAAAAGACCTATTCTGGATTGAAGAAGCTCAATTTAAAATGAGTTTTTTTTTTTTTGCCTATAATCTACCTTTATTTTGCATGCATAGAAAACTTTCAACTTCTTCCTTTTCACCCTTCATAATTTCAAAATTCTACTTGACATCTTCCTACTTTTCGAAATTCAGCGTTAAACATGAAACCTTATATTTGTTGGCTCTTTTAGCACTGGATTTCAGATGACGTATAATATAATGGCGCCTGCCGCGCTTTGCAACAACAAACTTTAAAGTTCAATCCCAGCTGGAATTTATTTACACGCTTGCAAGACAGCGTTTAGTTCTACCGTTTTCAAAATGTGTTCCTTTGAAAAAAGTGGTGAAAAACAAAAATTCGAATGCTGCGACTTTTCATGTATCTTTTCTTAAAACTTCAAATGAAGTTTTTCAGTAGGCAAGAACTAAAAAACAGTAAAAGGTAAAAGGTGACCATAGTATGAGATTCAGCACAAGAGCAAACAGTTCCCAAGCGCAATGCAAATTCATTAAAGCACATGCTCTTCTGAAGCAGAGCGCGACAAAAATTTACATACTGAAGAAACACAGCTCAACGAAAAAATAAAAAAGTCAACAATTCTCTAAGACAACGAAACATGAAATGGAGGTAAAAATCCCTGTATACAAAAAAAAGATAAGCCACCAGCAAAAAATCTAGTTTTGGCAGTAATTGCGCTAACATAAGAACTACGTTGAATTGCAATAACTTCCGCAGCACCCCGATCAAAAAAATAAAAAAATATGCCTTAAAAAATATTAAAAAATAAATATAAATATATATGCTGATAAACTCATATAGATAATACTTAACTAACCCAATATTTCCCAGTTACTTTTGGAGTCCAAAATTGCGCACAGCTGTTTCCTAACTTCGTAAGGTATAGCATAAACGTACTGAACCCGCTGATGTGTTGTCATATTTTTTCCCCTGGAAATTCAAAACCACAGTTAAAGATCAGATTCTATGAAGGAAAAAAAAAACACGAATAAATAACTCGTTTGCAATCTAAACTACTCAAACTCTCTAAAACTCTTTTATGCTCTTTATTTCAGTGTTGTCATCCTACTGATAAAAAAGTTTACAAAAGTAAGCGAACAAAAAATAAACAACCGGTACACCAGTGACGCAGGGTGAGCGAAAAAACTGATATGAATTCAGCTTACAAAAATTCCAGTTAGTTTCAAAAGTCGACGCAAGCTCCGGTAGAATTCTGCCGTCCAGGAGCTCAGTTCTTCACAGAAAAAAAAGAAGACAAAAAAATACGCATCAGTAACGATATAACATATTTACATCGCTGTCAAAGATTGCAACAAATGCTTTTAGCTGATTTTGCAAAAAAAAAAAAAAACATTTCAAAAACATTTCATCGAACGCTGTTGTGAAGAATTCTGAGTAAACCCATAAGGCACCAAGAAACGAATTGAAGCTGGAAAACAAACAGTGTTGGCAACATTCCAGAAAAAAACAACTTATACCAGCTATTTCTACAGCTGTACATTTTCGCTTTTAGTTTGTCACCTTGCAACAAGCCGAGTGAACGTCGATCTTTGGGCCTTCATTTAGCTTTTTATCTGTGACTGCAGATCTCAAAAATCCTTTTCACATTCGCAAATTACTACTCCTGAACGAAAGCCGAACTTGAATTCCCCCTCCCCATCATATCTCTTTTTTACTATCGCCTTCTGCCTTTTCCCAAAATTTCATCCTCTTTCAAAATGAATACATTTACCGTTATG